ATATATATATAGTCATGGGGCGTGGGGTATAGTGTGGGTGTGGATTCAAGGGAATTGTAATAGATATGTATGATGTATGATATTGGGGGGAAGTGGGGTGGCGGATTGGGGGAGGGGGGTTGTCACTTCGAGGGATAAAAAGTGTAATTATTGCACTGTGTTGTACAGCTGAAACTAATTTAAAAAAATGTTTATTTCACAATAAAAAATAAAAAAAAACCCAAACAAGGGAATTGTAATAGATATGTATGATGTATGATATTGGGGGGAAGTGGGGTGGCGGATTGGGGGAGGGGGGCTGTCACTTCGAGGGATAAAAAGTGTAATTATTGCACTGTGTTGTACAGTTGAAATTAATTCTAAAAAATGTGTATTTCACAATAATAATAATTTTTTAAAAAAAGAAAGAGAAAACAAAAACCTACCCCCCCCAAAAAAAGAATAGAAAATTACAATATAAATGAATGAAACTTAGTTCTAAAATCTGTTTCTATCTTCATGCTGCCACTCTTTTTAACTGAAAATTCTTAAAATATTTGAGGATCACAATCATGATCACCTTTATCTTAATTTTTTGACATAAGCATCCCAAATTTCTCATTTGTTGTTTCTTAGAACAAGAAGTCATTTATCTTTTGTATAGTCTCTCATTCATCAGTTTTCTTTTCAGAATGTGATATCAGAATTCAAAATTCACCTCAGCTCTAAATACTGTCATTATGCTGTGTCTGTCAATATAATATCCTTAGTTCTCTTTTGTGCTTCCCTGATGATTGTCAGTATATTACTCTATTATTAGATCAAGTTGAATTGAAACACTCTTCAATTTCAGAACAAAATTAACTTTGTATTTAGCACAGAAAATTAAAAACCTGTGGGGTATAAAACATCAAAGATAGAGGAACATCCTTGACTGTTGCTCTGGGTAGCTTTCAGATACTCCTTTTGACTTCAGGGACACTAAAGCTCACTTCTGGAGATCCTTATGTATGTGTTCATTTTAGTAGTCTGATCATCTTGAGCCATCTAGAAGTCATCCTATGATTATAATTTGTTATGGTAAACTCAGGTATATAAGAAGCTAACAATTCTACTATTGAATCCTTGGAAGAAAACCTTTAGCTTTGGAAGTTTTTTTTTTTTTAAAGCAGTTTTCAGGTAAAAAAGTTTGGGGAAATAATAATCATCCCAAATGTGTCATATTTTGATATTTGGTATTTTCTTATTCTTCAGCCAAGATATATTTGTATACATAATTAAAAAATTCAATTTGCACCAAAAATAATTATATTTGCTATCGCATATCTATACACATGCCAGCAGTCTATAGTGGTACCATTTTCTTGATGTAAAAACTGAGTTAAGAAATCACAGAAAATAGCACATAATTAAGCTAGTATGTAACGCCAGTTATTATTTAATTGAAATGTCCATTCATTAGATATTTACATGCCATCCCTAAAAGATCTAAAATTTCCTTTACAATATTGGTCAGTAGCTTCCAGTATAGCAGAAGATGTACACAAGTCAACAGTCCATTTCTAGGGGATAAATGTGTTGTTAAGAGTAGTACAGGGGTCATGGGCCAAAGGGAGAGCTCCTTAAGCCAGACTGTAGATTGTAAAATGATTTCATGCATGTGCTGTTTTCTTTTTTGGAAGCTGTTCTCTTCCTGTATGGCACAAAGTTCTATAAACTGTTGAAGTTTGCCCAAATCTGGTACATGTGCTGCCTAGATCTTCATTCTTTGCCCTTCATCTTCCCTTGGCTTGAAAATATTTGAAAATTAGATCAATATGAACACCAATAAGATCAGAGTACTTATTATTCAGAAGAATGTAAACAACTGGTCCTCTAATACTTGTAAGTTCTAGCGGGATATCACTTTCGCTTACAGACACTCCCTGTTTCTGGTTCCCTTGCCTCTTCCATAGACGTCTCTCTTCCAACCCATAAATGCTGTCATTTCTCAATATATTTTCTATAGCTTGTTTCATTTTTCTCTCAGCCCACTTTCCCTTAAAAGTCTCCTTTCTTCCCATAACATCAACAATCACTTCTGTGTAGATGTCTCTGTAATTTAGATGTCCAATCCTGTTTTTTTTTCCTCATGAACTACCAACATGTTGTCTTCCACTTCTACTTATAACTTGGACCCCTTAATTTGAATGCTCAGCATGCACTTACATTCAACATGCTTACAAAATAACAAACTTCTCATCTCAAGCTCTGTTCTTCACCTTTTATTTCACTTTAATTTTAATAACATAACTATCCTACTTCTTTAGTCTCCAAACTTCATATGCATGTTCCATTTATCCCTTTCATTACCAACAATCTCATAGCCATTCACTGGTAAAAATCCTTTGGATTCTATTTCCAGCCTAGGTCAAGCTGTACTTATTTCTCGGTTGTGATATTTTAGTGGGTCTTCCTTCTCTGTTTCCTCCCCTTCTGGCCCATTCCAAATAGAATCACAGAATTTATCTTTCCAAACCTCATCACTGATTATGTTTATAGTATTTTGAAAAATATTTATGGCCATACGTACCAACAAACAAACAAACAAAGAGACCAGCAGCTAAATATGCAGCTTGTTTCCTTTGAATTTGGGTCTGATCTCTCTGAGCTGGAGGTGATCTCTTTTCCCATGTATTAGATCATATGATCACGTCTTATTTTTTTTCTTTGACTAAAAGATCCTTGACTCAGATATGTGACTAGGGCTTAGTAGATGCTCAAACATATCTGTTGATTAAATGAACGAATGGCCTGTCATTTGGATATCACATGACTTATATCTTATAGCTAGTGTAGAGATTTTCTTAAGACCTGAGACATTTCTTAGGAAAGGAGGCTTTGGTGGTACACACTCCATATTGCCTAGATGGACTCTGCAAGGAATTACTAGGAACTGTGGGGTTGGAGTTTAGCAAGGCTCCTTTAGAACAGGCTTGAACTGTAGTTTCTCACTGGGACTTAAGGGAAGGCCTTAGAGTCCCTCTACACGTCTCTGGAAAAGTGGTTTTCAGGCTTGAGCATAAATAACAACAATTTGGAAGGCTTGCTAAAATATAGACTCCTGGGGCCCACCTGTAGAGTTTTTCATTCAGTAGGGCTAGAAAAGGCCCTGAGAATTTGCATTTATAGCAAGCTCTTAGGTGATGCTGCTGCTGGTCCAGGGACCACACTTTGAGGAACTCTGCTTCAGAACAGGTATAAGCATCTAGAGGTCTCAAAGACACCAAAGAACTGCATTCAGCAGCCAGGCAATTAACCAGAGCACCACAAATCCTAAACAATGTAGCTTCAGCCCCATGATAATTGGTCCTTATACTTACAGGGCATGTGTTCTCAATATAATAGCTGAAAATCCACATTTTCATCAAAGAGCGGATAGATTCTTGTCCACAGTAATATATATATATATATACAGTGACCACATTAAGCTTAAAGGAACCTCAGGAATTGATGCTGTGGCCTCAGTAAGTTTTCCATCTCTTTATGTCATCTGGATGAATTTATATATAGCATTTAAGCTAATATCTCTCAGATAAAAAGAAGCTGCTCACATGCAGACTATCCTGATAGTAAATGGACTAAAAAGTGCCTTGCGAGCATCTGTATCAGCAAGCTCAAATCAATGAGCCACTTGATTGTTATCTAATTCCTCTCTTTCCCCAGAGTCTATGTCAGTGCAATAATGGGCTAGGCATTTATTTACCACCAGAAGCAAACTCCTGATTTGAAAGTTACCAGACTTCAAATACCATACCAGATACCATACTAAATTCAGCAACGTTTCCTGACTGAAAATATTATGAATTTTAAGGTGTCTTCTTTTTTCCCAATTACCAGCTGAATAGGAATCTTGGATAACATCCCTTAGATT